TAATATGAGCTCTCATCTGTGGTTTTCTCTATGGATGCTAATTCGAACGTAATTTTAAAATTGTGTTTCAGATTATATCTTCTTCCTGTAACATGTAATGAAGCTGCTCTGTAAAGAGGCCTCTTGACTTTCACTAGAGAACTGCAGTACAAGCACAAATGACTTGGAAGGAGCATGGGTATAAACTTACAGAGATAATATCAACAGCAGTTAATTATCCAATACATCTATTCAAGCTTACACCTCATGAGCGTATTGCTTGTATTTGACACAGTTCACTGTAAATCTCCCTTTCATTACTGTTCACAACTCACAAATGTTACTTTTTTGATATATTCTAGAGGCATATATATTTACACTTGGAAAGAAAATTAAATACACCAAATGTCTAATGAGCAGTTCCCTTCTATCCTTAACATATTCAAGGGCCAATATTTTAGTGCTGTAATGAAATAAAACTTTTTCTTCAACAGAAGTATGCTAGCATACTTTGATCATCATTTGTATCTATTTTCAGCACATATTTGTTGACTGCTCTAGAGCTCATTAAAACAAACAGAGCCTTTCAGAAAGTGGGTTTTTGTGTTCCAATAACGATAATTAAAAAGATAGTATTCATGCTGCTTAGATTATACAAGTATACTTAGGTACCTTTTTAGAATCTAAAGGCAATGACAGGTACCTGTTGTCCTTGCTCAGTACCTATAATTGAGGAGAAATTGATGAGCAAATGCAAAGAAAATTGAAAAATGATCCAAACTGGGATTGAGAAATTATTAACAACCATTATAAACATGCATGGTTGTTAATCTAAGATACTTTAAATTACGGAAAAAGAGGAAATAAATAAATAGAACTCATGTAGAGAACATCAGGAGTAAACTTGCATAATACTTTACTCTCATGTAAAGAGAACATCAGGAGTAAATTTGTATAATAATAAGATAAATTATATGTACCGTACTTAACTCTGCTCTTTGCAGCACATCTTATCTTGATACATCTACTTATTTCTCCTTTGCAGATATTAACAGAATTGTTGGCCATTCAAGTTATCAGTAGTTTAGTAATGAAAATGAAATGAAGCAATAGCAAATATAAGGATCCTCACACTAAAGTGCAGCAAAATTTGTTACAATCTACCACATATGCAAATTTTGTTGTATTCTCCTAAATCTAATAATTTTCTAAATCACCTTGTTTCTACTCTCTATTAATTTTCACTTTTAGTGAAGAAAGACCTTGTCTTTCAAGTAATTGAGTAGTCAAGTTAAAAACACTAACAGCTTGCCTGTGTATGAAGATTGCATGAACTTGTATGGAGATTGCAGTGATTTCTTGTTTAATGCTTATGTCAGTGATGCAGACTACAGAGACAGAAGAATTTTTAATCCTTCCATCAGCAATGTGTCAGACACCTCCCTGTGCTCTGAGCACAGAAATCAAAAGCATCTTCCTAAAGTTCAGAAGTGATCAGGACCTCCATGTTCTCCTCCAGTTCTGCAGGTACCTGATGATAGCTCCTTTTCAGAATCCATGGTTCAAGGCATTGATGTTGCTTTTTCTCAAACTCTTTCACAAAGCCTTCAGTGACTAATCAAGTTTGGAGTTGCTGTGGTTATGCTGATAACGTCACACAGTACATTCCCATTTCCAAACTGAATAGTCTTAATTTTTAGAATGAACTTTGGAACCAAGTATTTTCCAGTTAATGTAGAAGCTGCTTTCCAAAACCAATTTCTATTATGCATTTTAAAATCCTCATTTCTCAAATTCTCCTTCTTAGTAAACTCATTTACCAAAAGCAAAAACAGATATGCCTTTTACACACTAAAATCTAGTTTTCTCACTGAAGAGCAGGAGCACTCAAGCAGATGAAGAGCCTATCTGGTTCATTCTCTTATTTCCGGCAGTGATCAGTAGTAGATGTGTCAGGCACCTATCTGTGAGGTAATTCTTCTACTAGTGTATCTTTCTACCTTCCAGCAATCAGTAGCAGAGGGACCTGTCTTCCTGGACCAAGTGTATATCTATCTGCTCTTTTGCTCAGAACAGAACGTCCCCTTTTTCAGATCATCTGCTAATACAGTGACCAGCACAGGTCCTCGTAACACACCCCTCCAAATATTTTGATAACAAGTAATTTGTTCCTACCTCCTTTTCTTATCTCTAATTAGTCATTAATTTATGAAAGGACCTTCTTTCTTGTCCCATGGCAACTTCCAGTTAATAGCGTCAGGAAAGAACTTACTCTTATTCGTTCATGTTGTGGTCATGACCAGTTTCCTTCATATAGGGGCTAGAATGACTTTTTGTGCAGATCCTCCTAGATTATCTTTTGGGAAAAAAAAAGGATTTTACACTTGCCACACCTATTCTTCCTGAGCTAAGGCCACTATAAGTGATAAGCTATACATCAAAGCTGGTTGTTTGGCAATTTCTTGTCTAAGTTCCTTTGAAATACCTGAGAGAATATTATCTGATTTTTATATTTGCACACTTCATTTTATGAATTTCTTCCAAGTTACCTTCTATTGACACTCAATTTGAAACACTTCCTGGGATTTACCTCCCATAAGAAAAAGCTCCAGGATAAGAACTTCCCAAACCCTTCCAATGCAAAGAATTATCTTATTTTTATGCCTTAGAGACTCTCCTCTTTCAGTGTGTTTGAAAAAAGGTTTTATTATTAGTTCTTATGCTCTTAGAAAGTTGGTCCTCAAAATCTTTGTGGCTTGCTATATAACAACTTTACATATAACTTGCTAGGGTTCATGCTTATTTCTTCTTCTCAAATGACTCCTATTTGCAGAACTTTTTTTTCTGTTGTTTAACTAGGCCTTTAAAAAGGCCACAGTTTTTGTAGCATATCACCAGCCCCTACAGAAATTTGTATGGATTACTACTGGAAACATAGCTGCAAAGCAATAAGGTAACTGCTGGGTGTGAGATTTGCCCAGCAGATCCATCATGCAATAGCTGTATGCATAGGCTTGCAAGCTTCGGTCTCCCACAGTGCAGTTGCTTCCCAGCAGCATTAATATGAAGTCAGTAGCAATGTATCAAATATTTATCAGCAGCTTCAGACCTGAGCACGTTCCTTCCACATCTCATGGGGCCTCTTCCCCTGCAAATCACACCAGCCAGCAGTGGAAGACTTTTTGTACTGTGCATTTCTTTGAATCTTCCCTCCTATTGCGCATCATTTTTAGGGCATGATTGCATTTGTACCTCTCTTTCAGGTAGGAGAGGGTTTTGTTCAGAAAGAGTCACCTAAATCCTTTTCCTCTTAGGAACAGTCCTAAAAGGACAGTGAGCAGCACTATCCGAACTTCAAGGTCAGATGCCAGCAGTACAAGAAGGTCAGCAGTTATGACAGAAAATACAATTGCCTCTGCACCCGTGACTGATCGGTTACATTTGACAGCTCTCTGCTTCGTGACACCGTTAGACACAGCGAGCATGAAATTTCGCTTCAGTGACTCCAGCCTCTCCTTACAGCTTTCTCTAATGTGCCATGGCAGAGAGGCTGAGGGAGCTGAATGCTGCTGAGACTTCAAAGGACCCAATATTAGAGAAGACATAACAGTGATAGTTCTCGTCTCATGCTGGCTGGGATTCCTCTCCATTCACACGAGACATCTGAGGCAGCAGTGGTGGCCGGTGCTTAGTTGAGCAGGAACAGGAGCTGTGACGCTCCACATGTACCTTGGAGCTGCAATCAGGTTGGGGAAGTCTGCCTCAAGCGCTCCCTCAGACGATCAACAAAAATGTGGCTGCTTTATGATGGCAGCCTTCTAATTAAGTTAGAGCGGTCTAGGCCTAAAACTAATTTTAATCAAAAGAACTGCTTAATTATCACACATGCTTTACAAATGAGGTCACGCAGACACAAAAGAATTTAAGTGAGTGGTTCAAAGGCAAATATTGTTTACAGAAATTAGTAGGAGCTACCAATACCAGCAGACCCAGATTGCCAGTCCTCTGCTGTAACCTCTTCAGCGTGATACATTCATTTTGTGCCTTTCAAAAACTACTTTTCTCTGAGACAAACAGAGATTCAGAAAAAAAAAGAGGAGGAGTCACTCAACGATTTTTGACACACCTGCCCTTGGCAACCGAGATCACAGAGGTTATGGCAGCCGCTTTCCAGACCCTGGTGGCACAGAACAAGATGGCTGGTTTAACTTCCAAAGCTAATAAGAGCTAGGAGAAGCGTCAGGGTAAAGATAATGCTGTTGTACACAGAAATACCGGTGTAGACATTTAAAGCCAAACAGAAATTTTTAATGCAAAGTCCCATTAAAGCAAATGGGAATGAACATCCAAATCCATATGTTTCTTTCAAAAACTCAGGTCTTTTACCTCATATGCTTCCAAACCAGGATTTATGCTCTCTAAAACAAACCAGTAACTAAAATTAGCATAAGACAGGTTGTATTGTACATATCAGATAATTTCATCAAACTATACAGGCAAGAATTTTAAGTTAACTACAGATATCACCCCTTGTCCTTGAAGGTATTGAACAAATCTGCTGGACACCACTTCTTAGGTTTTCTGGTCTATATCACAGTTTCCTCTAGTCACATTTATTGCTACATATTTGTTAATACTAGACGACTGAGTTACTATCACTTAAAGAGTTTATATTTATGGACGTATGTGTACACATGTTTTTGCTACAGAAAACAGAAACGTAAAGCTTTAATAAAAATGATTTAAGCTAGCATTTTCAATGGACAGAGTACTCACACAAGTAGTCACTGCAACTCAGCTGACACAGGGTAACTCATTAAGCAACAGTAATTCAAATTTGTGGGAGCCCTTGCTTTTCCAGCACTATCCTCTCACTTAAGATGTCTCACAGCTGAATTACCAGGTTTGAGCTTCTGATTTTCAGTCACAAACACACAAACTGTACAGATATTATCTGAAACTTGATACATGCATTTGCCAAACAGGCACTTTATAAGAAGGCTCAGAAGTCAGATACTCACTGATCTGGTTGGTAGATGCACTATAAAAAGCATTTACAGTAGTTGGGCTTGTGAACCACCTGTAGTAAGAGCAAAAGAAATCAGCTGTCAGTACACTTACACATCTTTATGAATACAATGAGCAGAGATAAAAAGTGAACTCAGGGAAGGAATAAAAAATGTGAAAGTCCTAGGATACATTAAAGTTTACATATTTTTCCATTTCCACACCTGCTACCTAGTCTTTCTAGAACATTGAAATCTATTGTTTAATGGCTTTAAGTGTATATAGTCAATGAATGTTCAACAGGAGCGGCTGTTAAGCTTCCTATTATCTAATCTGTTTTATTTCTAGACGACCGCTGTGCTCGTGGGGTACGCCGCGCTGACAAACTGAAGTTCACCCAACAGAGGCTGCAACACTGACAGTAGCTGTGCAACTCTCTTAGGTGTCTTTCAACCATGTGTAGAGAAACTCCCTCTTGAAATTAGAGGAGAGCATTTTGAAAAAACTGAAGGGCCCTCAGATGTTTTGGTGAGCAACTACTTGAACAATTAAGATTATGCCAGCAACATGAGCAGGCGCTTTCTGGGAACCTAAATTCAAAATAAACAGCTTCATGTTCTGTACCCTACACAATGAACATGGCTATCAGCGTGTTCATAAACAAATGGACTTCTTGCAAGGCAAAACAAATTTAAAAAGGAATATTAGCATTTCTTCTCACAGTTAGATGTCTCATACATAGTGGAGGGAAACCTAGATTTGAATAACAAATAGGATTTACAAATTTCCTTAGCCTAAGCTCATCTGTATTGACACTGGTTTCACCAATATGAGTGGAAAGTCTCAGCTGGCGTCAGCAAGATCCAAATCCCCTCTGAGTTCAGTGAGGCCAAGATTTCACTTTATGATTTTATAAGGAATAACTGAGATAAAAGAAAAGTAATAAAGATGATCAGAATTAGTGGTTAATTCATAATAAATTAGAAGCAACTCTAGTAAGTGTCCAAACAGGAACATCCTGATGTCTTTACCAATGCATTACTCAGAATTTTTGTAAAGCCAAATGAATGCAATGCAATTGCTTTGGAAAATTTCTTTCAGAGAAGAGATGGGAGCTGCAAAACAAAGAGTAAGACAAAGGAACATCTATCAGAACATGGAAAATGTGTGTCGTCAGTGACATTCACGTACACGATCTGTGCTTTAAAATAGCACCATCAAATGAATGAGTTATCTGCAGATCCTGACTGTTTTTCTGGCAACTGATGTCCTCACGTAAACTACACAACAAAGGGGAAAGTTTTAGAATGACAGCATTCTGTCTTTTATCAATAAATTAATCGACTTCTCTCATCTTCAAAGCCAAGCAGCTTATTTTACAATGCAGCAACTAGAAAAACTAACCAATGAAAGCAAAAGGTGATGTCATTTAAATATCTTAACTATCCATCGCATTATAGGCTCTAATTGCCACAGATAACTCTGTTTTGTTTACTAGGAGATTCTGAAGAGGAGGAGCAGGGTGAGTTGTTTTCTGATGTGTTTTCTGTTTCCTCTATAATAAAGAAATTAAATGTTAGAGGTAATGTAGTGAGATAATGGAAAATTGAAGAAAGAATGCTTATGGTGAGGGGATAAGGAAAAGATTAGGGGACTTAATTAACCACATTTCAATTTCATGTTTGTTCACAGTAGCAATCAGCTGAACCGTTTCGAAGGATGCAAGCCAGCCACTTGTGCGATGGGACCTGCTCTCCAGGCTTAGCTGTAGCTCTGGAGGACTCTGTCCCTTTTTTGACAAGGAGAAAACCCATCTGAAAGGGAGTAATCTGAAACACTCAACACTTTAAGTTAGATTTTACTGTAAGTTTGAACAAAGACACATAGCGTTGTGACTTCCACCTCACCCTGGTGCCTTGTTCTGCTTACTACAGCCTTTCTGTTCTCTCGAACAGCAACTTTTAAGCATGAAAAAGGCTTCCGGGACAACAAATCCTCCCTTTTTGCAAATCCTTCTTAGAGCGAGTGTCTTAGAGTGCCTCTCATCTCCAGTCACAGGATCAAGGGCCTGAGACAGATAACAGATACTTCAAAACAAGCTAATGTGCTTTGCTCTTCTCCCCATCCTCTTTGCTGCTGCAGCCCCAGGGGCTCACTGCAGGTAGCTCAAGATAGGAACCACCACGAACAGAGGTAAAAGAGCTCTTCACTGACAAGCGGCACCTCTCTAAAAGTACAAGTTTGCACCCATTTTTATTGGGTGAGGAGCTAAGCAGTGATGCACGTACTTGTCACCACAGGAGTACCTCACTCAGCCCAAGAGCAACTGCAAATGGTGTTGCCATTTGGTCTGCAGCTACCGAGGAGGACGTCACACCACTGCTGGCCATGCTTTCATACCTGTAAACTCACAGACTTGTAGCTCATAGACTAGCTGCCAAGACTCATCACAACATCTCAGTCTGAGATTGCTTCTTCCTTCATGATCTACCACTGCAATAACAGAGTCCATCCTGCTTCCTGAGTCAGCATGAGCCAAAGACCGATAGCAGCCTCGATTTTCTCACTGTAAAACTGAACTGAATTCTTTATGAGTCACTCTTTCATAATGAGGCTTCAAGAATGACCCTGTATGAAGTTTGTTATGTTTTTAACAAGCTAGGAAGAAATGTAGCAGCCATACCAAGGAGTAAGGAAGAACAAGAGTTCTCTAGTGACAAGTATACTGCTGAATTTCATATTTGATGTTTAAACACTCGTCAAGGAGCATATTAACACTCCAGCATTTTGTTGTACCATTCTGAGCCACTCTCAAAAAGATTTAGAAAGCATTTTCCACAAAAGAGCAGAAATAACTGAGACTGCTTCCATTCAGGCTAGCAGAACAACTTCACCTCTCATCTGTCATCCTCCTTCAGTGAGCTCCTTGAAATGACTGACCCTTCAGTGACAGACCTTAACTAATAACACATCAAATTACTATATGAAGGCCTGTAATAAATAGCTGTCGCTGTTAAATTTTAAGGGGAAGCAAATTCAAAAATAGCGCTCTCATTCCTATTTGAAGTCAGGATGCCTGGGCATTTGCTCTAGGTCTGGTTACAAAGTGCATTTGATGTATTAGCAGAAGGACAAAAAAAAAAAGACAGGCATAACAAATTCTAAGCTCTTATTAATTACAAACTAAATAAAAAGATATCTAGAATTGTTTACACTTTTCCCATTTGCTATTAGCATGTGAAAAAAGCTTTGAATGATGTCCTGTAACATTACCTATCAACTACTACAGCAGTCAAAACCTAATGCTGCAGACTTGACACTTGTAAGTTTGAGATTTCTCTTGTAGAAATAAAATCCGAAACCTGTACTGGGATAGCAAGTGGGACATCTACTCTCTTAGGTTTTTGTTTCTTCAGGCTACAATTTTCTCCACTGTATCTTCCTTTCTGAGTTGAGTATAGCGTGATACATTGCCAGTCCTGAAGAAGGGTGACAGGGAACATTTACCATGCAGGGAAAAGTTTATTAATTTATTTAATTCTCTACAAAGCACAAACTGAATTTGCAATTTGTTCTCTCAACTTTTTGAGTTAGAAGTAATCATTCAGGTGGAGCAGAATTTGGTGTTCAATGTCCCAAGTAAGTGGTTGTTTTTTTTTTTAAATCATGTAAGTAAAGAAAATGAGCTTGTGAATGTAGAATGCACTTAAGCTGGTTAGAAGTGAAAGGTCCTACAGAGTTGCTAACAAAGCTAGAATCTGGAAAATCTCTTCTCAAGAAGGGACTACAAAGAAAATCTTCTAAGGGGGAGGCAGTCTTCAAAGTGACTTTCAAAAGTTTATCTCCTCTTCTCCTGTTTAGTCTGTTTTATGTGTTTTCCTGTGTAGAAACAGAGGATTAGCCTCCCAGGTCAGGCTGCCATGTCTCCCCTCAGGGCTGGGCAAAAAACTGGGATGATAAGGCTGGGCCCAGCCTCCAGTGCTACATCACTGCTTAAAATGAGGTTCAAAGACCAGGAAAAGGCTCCAGGAGGCTCCTTTCCAGCCTCTCCTCTCCAGGACAGGTCCACCCACAGGATTTCTGAGTCCTCCATCAGCATCTCCCCAACAGACAACAGCCTGCCCAGTGTCTTTCATGGCTGCTTTTCCCTTTTTGCAGAAGGAGCTTTTTCACTGTCCTTGATGGCATCCAACCCAGCACCTCTCAGAGCTGCTCTCCCCTGCGGCAAACCAAGAGCCAGGGCTTGCAAACAATAGTGTGTGGTCAAGAAACTGGAATAAGTCCTGGGGGAGACCCAAGAATCTTCTCATAGTACACTTCCCGTGTCATTTTATAGGGTTACTAGATGCCTACATCTCCAGCATTGAAGGTTGAGTGAAACATGAAGAAATATTTGGCCAGATCTAAAAATCTTTGTGGAGATGTCCTGACTTCAGAGGAGAAAGGTTAATAATAATGAAGTGGTACGCCCAAGAAGTACTCTGATCCCCTGCTATTTGCAAGTATGATATCAGTGTTAAGAAGGATAGACTCAGTCACTGTTAAAAAGGTGGTGGTGGGGCTGTGTTTATATATATATATATACACACACACGCACACACATATACACACACCTGTGCATGTATATTTATACGCATGAATGTATATGGTTCCACGGATGGATAAGCAAATGCCACTAAACCCCTGATTCTCCTTTATCTCTCCCTTCCACGTGGCCACCACTTCCCCATGCCTTGCCTTTCACCTCCCTCTGCTCTAGTCGTGTCTCACGTGGATTATTACAATTGTCTTCAAGCCTGGTCCCCTTCCTCCCACGCTCCCCGCTTCCAGCCTCGCCTCCTCCATTCAGCCCTCTCAATCCAGCCTGTGCTGTTTTGCGCATCATATTCCTCAGCTCCTGCCACAAATCCCTTTCGTACGTCTCCTCCTGATACCTGAGCACTTTTTGTCTTGTTTGATCGAACCAGCTGTGAAGATGATGGCCATCTCCCCAGCTGGCATCCAAAGCGGGTGTTGAGGACAGCAAGTTGCACCTCCTGCCACTGCGGTGCCCGCGGGGGAGCCTGGCCCTGGGACCGGCAGAGCAGGTGGCTCCGGCGCCCTGATGCCCCATCACAGCTTCTTGGTACCAGCTGGGCAGGTACGTGCCCCCATCCATGCCCCGAGCAATCCCTTGCCTGGCTGCCTCCATGCTCCTTTTTCCTGTAAGGCAGACAACTGCGAAGGAGGGAGGGAGCAGAGCAGAGGACAAAGAATTTCAATAATTACTCCTGCTTTGGGAGATTTTTTTTCCTCTTTTTAGATTACAAAATTGTTGAATTTCCAGAATAACTTATTTCCACTTTGATATCCACATTCCCCCTTGCTTTATCAAATTCCTTTGCCTTGTACCTCCCAGCTCCTCTGTCTGTCCCCTGTTCGTGTTTCACTGGTGCTTTGAGTGAATCATCATTTTGATTTTCCGTTTAGCTGACTACGCTGAGGAAAGTGAGTCCAGTTTGAAATAATATTGCTGAGAAATCTGGACTGTCTGTAAATGAATAAAGTGTTTTACCTCTTTAGGGTAATATTACTTTACTAGCTGGTAACTTTTTTCCTTAAACCCTCATTTTCTTATTTATCTATTTCAGTCCACAACCTGGACCACCTTATAATATCTATCTCTAAATATAAATGCTATGCTAAAAGCTACTGAACTAAGGAAAAGAAGAAATGAAGCAAACCGAAACAAAACCCCAAGGGTCATTCTCTATTAACACAGGCTTCGTGTAGACCAAAGAGTTGTGGAGTTCTAGGAAATGTAAAAGCATAAAGAACAAAAGCAAAAGCAATAACGAAAGCGAAAGCAAAAACGAAAGCGAAAGCAAAAACAAAAGCGGGAAAGGGGGAAGGGAAATAAGTCAGTAAAGACATGATGAAGTATTCAATCTTGTAGTGGGCAATTGGCTAAAACCTTCATTTTCTAAGCATGCCCACTTGATGTGACAGTTCTCAGATTACAGCCCTTGAGGCGGACAGTCAGGGATTAGCTGCCAATTAATTTCTTTACAGGGGAGATTTCCCACACGGTCTGCGTTAGAGATGCCGCAACACTGTTCGCAAGGTGGAAGGATCTCCATTGCTACAGAGAGGCAAGTGTTACTTCACTGCTCTCATGGAAAGTGTTGGTCTGAAGAGAATATACTGTGGCGATCTAGCCCCGGCACGCAGGGCTGCAGGAAAGCCCACACAATCATCCCCTGGGATTAACCATTGCCGTGTCAGAGAAAGGTGTGGCGAGATGGAAAAATTCACAATTAAAATTTAGCTATAAACAACCCCTTGAAAATATGGGGCCACATTACAACGCTCTAACCAGGAACAGCCTGTGCCCGTCCTGCTGACGTTATCTACCTGCCTCACGGACAGCCCTGAGCCACCCCCGAAACAAGGCGCCATTCCGCTTGAGTGGGAATTTCTGGAACCCTAAGGAAAAGCCACCACAGAAGCTAAGCAGCAGCACTGATTTCAGAGTCTCTGTGTAAAAGGAGTCATTTTTAAGTAGCATGATTAGACTAATTAAATTCTGTTTAGGTTTTAATTTGCACTTTAAGGATATGATTACCCACCAGTAAGAAAAGAGACCGATTCTCTCATGTATTTGATGACAGTATGTGACAAATTGCACTCTCACGTTTACAAATAAATAAAAATAACATATGTAAATTAAATTATGTCTTATTCCATATCATTGCTATCAACAGCAGGTAACTAACAATGCTGATTACTATTACTAGTAATCATAATAATAACAACATTATCTCTTACTAATGGTTCCATTAGAAAATTTATTTCATAAATCCCTGCCGCACCATTTCAAATTCTAACTGTGACCAAGAGACATAATCCATTTTTAATTGAGATCCAATTACCCCTTTTTTCATTAAATTAAAAGTTAAAGCTGCAAGCATATGATTACTGTGCATCAGAATAGAGATACCTAGAACTTACGAGAAAAATACTCACAGGAGTTTCTGAATAACTGGGGGGGGGTTTGCCCATAGGCTTTTTGTATCATGATATGTCGCTGTGTCTCTAATTCTATTCAAACATAAATAATATAAATGAAAATACTGATAGAAGATTATGTAAATTTGGCTTTTGTCTACTCACTCTGTTTTTGGAACTTCTTTTCTAAGCCAGTAGAAATCAGATTGGGCTGCGTATTTACGAGTTTGCAACACATTGCCAAAATAGTCACTTTCTGTAAACTTCAGCTGTATAGATAAAGCACAGGTATTTTTAAAGCATGTCCAAAGAAACAAAAGCTGACATAAAACAATCAGAACTTTTATTTTAAACAAGGTAATCACCTAATTTTTTAGCTGTTATCAAAGCAAGTTAAATTTTCACACTTGGTAGGAAGAATAAATATTTTGCGAGTTTAGTTAAAAACAGTGGCTGAAGAGTTCTACACAAGGGATTGGGACTGGAATAGCTTTTCCCTGTGCAGAGAGGAGCTGAGGAAATCAGAAGTACCCAACAATGAATTGCAGACTGCACATTTCTATGGCTATTATTGACGGCCTCTTTTCCAGGAGGAAATAGGTCTACTTTTATTTTTAAAAGTGAATTTTAAAACCACTTTCAAAAAATAGAACAAAGCCCCGCTTTTCAGTTTGTTTTACATTTTATTACAAATACTTTGTACTCTGTGCCCTCCAAGGGTTCTGCCACTGCTTTCTGACTGTCTCACATTAAATATTTACAGACATAGGGATCCATGCTTCTATAAGCCTCCGAATCTAATAGCAACACCACCCCCCCACCACCACACACAACTAACCATGCAAGAAAAAAGGATGTTAATAGTTTATAAACCCAGCTGATATCCCTGTCACCAGTTTCAAGCAATGCTAGGACTTGTGAGGAACTTGCACTTCAGACGTATACTATGGTTTTGCAACTGTGATTAACAAGTGTTTTTCACTAGATATTACCATTTGACTGGGCAAATAATTCCATACACTGAGTGATAAAGTTGGTCATGTCCTCCATCTCATTACGCTGTCTTCGTAGCACCATCTCACCCTACTCTTTCCAGTTCTTCAAAGTTGACGGACAAAGAACTTCTTCAAAGTTTTCTCAATAAATTATGCCTCTGTTTAGTGTTTGTTCATGTTCTCTGGCAAAGATGACTGTCACTCTTGTATTTTACTGGTTCAGGACTGAATTTGTGATTCTACTTTGCCTGTGTCTTTCAGTAATACAATTTATCACATGCATCCAACAGTTGCGCCTTTGGAAAATGGTAAAATATATTGTTCTTCATCATCTGCCTTCTTTAGTCAGGCTGACCAGCTCCTGGGTCAGGAAGGAGTGCCCCCACAGTACCCTTGTCCAGCAGCCAGCACAGTAGACCTACACATTGGTTAGGACCTCTCAGCACAATTATAAGCAGCAATCATGAGTAAAATTCATAGCCTGGAGAGATGAGGACAGCTTATACAGGGCATCATAAATTGTGATATTCTGAGGAAAAATGCGTTAGTGTTTTTGAAGACCATAACTTTGAGGAGAAATGTTTTGTTTTGTTTTTATAACTAAGTGCAAAATGTATGACAGTATACATTTAACCTTTAAAATGCTTAATAGCAGGAAGGTTCTTTGCACCCAGGCACATTTTACTCCCAGCAGGCCTCGTGGTCATCTCTCTTACACACACCAGCATTAACAATTTAGACATCAGAGCTAGCGTACTTAATTCAACATCTAAAAATAACCAGGCAAACAGAACTCCAGATGCATGCCAAACAAAAGAGGAGCTTTGATTTTTAGACAGCAGCGAAACAGAGCAAAGAATGGCTGTAATATGTAAAAGAAGAAAGCTGCAAGTCTGACACTTACTGTTTTGATGTCTTCATTAATATATGTGTCATTCATTATAAACTGAGGGTAACCCACTTTTGCCATAACTGCTTTTGCCTTTAAAAAAAAAAAAAAAAAAAAAGAAAAAAAAAAGTGTTGGCAGATATAAGCATTTCTCAGCATATGGGGTTTTTTTTTTCCCCATTCTGTTTCCACTTTGTATTATTATGCCTCCCTGAAGGCATCCTAATTTAACTTCAAACCAACTTGCCTACAAGGTAAACTTGGAGCCGCAAATGAGCTTTGCGTCACAACGTGGAGGGTCCAGGTTCTGTTGTCGGATTATCACAGTGGGCCTGTTGTTGCCTGCAGAGCTTTTGCAGACTTACAGCAATCTGTTTGAGTGCAAAATCTTAACAGCTGATTTTCCGTACCGGATTTTGTGTTAATCAGATGGTCAAATGCCTGCTTTTACAACGTTTTCCAAAAGACAACAGTAAATGGCCCATTTCGCTATGGTGCAGTAACTGGTACACATCCAACTGTTAAAATAGATTTGATACACAGATATCCACGAATCTGGGTCCCAGCAAGTGCAGACTGGCATATTTCCATTGAGGGTCACTTCTATTTACACCTGAGGACGGTTGCACACTTTTCTGAGGGACACTGTATTTTCCTAAAACCATATGTCTAATCTTTGTTTCATTCTCCACTTTCATCTCTCTACTTTGCAGCCTTTGCCCTTAAGGTGATAAGACAAGAGACTTCCCTTTTCATTAACTTTTTTTTTTTTTTTCCCTCTTTCAGTCATGACTTGGTCCCAGTGTTTATGCACAATCTGTGTAAAGACTCTGGTGTGAAGCGATAGTAGCTGTAGATGAGTATTCCTGCTTTGTAAATCATGGTGTAAGTATATAAACAGCCTTAGTAATGTCTCCACAAAAAACACCAGCAGGCCACCCAGCCACCCAGAATCTCTCTGGAAACAATATATTTCCAGAAGAAAAGCAGAAGGACACAAAAAGGATAAGGCGACATACAAAGAAGTGAAATATGACAAGTCCATGGAATAAATTAAAGCCACGATGGACTATGATAGCACAAAGCCACTTTTTGTATGTTTTTGGGATTTCGGGATCATGAATGTAATTCATCCTTGAATCTCTGGAATTCCCCCCACCCCTCAAAAAATGCTCCTCTGGAAATTTTTTCTTCGAACTCAAGTGTCTAAACCCCAATGAACATTGCAGGATATGAAATGCAATAAATGGATTGGCCTTTAAACCAACCGCAGCCATACGAACTCTGCATTCTGCTCACTGTGAGCAGAGCCCGGACCTCTCTGGGGGCCCACCGACTTCTGTTTCCCTCTTGCTGCACTGGGTGGATGTTCAGGGGAAAATTCCCCTTTCTCCACAATGAAATACTTGTCCCCTTCTTCCCCTCCACAGCGTCTCAATACAACAGGGGGCCCTATGACAGCAAGAATTAGAAACCTCTGTTCCACGACTGTGTGAAGGAACCTGTTGGAGGACTGCCTCTGTTTAACCAAAATTATTTTGTCTCCTCTTTTATTTTCAAGAAGAAAGGCTTCTTTGCTTCTTCAAACTCCTTCAATTTCTCAATCTCATTTCCAATCCAAAGACATAATCCTCCATTTGTGACATCACAATTAATTGTGGTTGAGATAATTAAGATGTCACAAACAGAAGATTACAACTTCAGGTAGAAAATTAGCAGCAGGAGCAGATGAACTCTTAAGCAAGAAAGATCCCATTGTCATGCAAATATCCCTAGTGATAAAATAAACAATGGAAGACAAATGCTGAACAGGAAACATGAAATGAGCCAAATTAACTCACAACAGAATGTTTTCTCCTTTTTCCAAAAGGTAGAGCAGCCTTTCAAGATATTTTAAATGCCTAAGGGGATAAAAAGTGGGGGGTAGGGAGCACAATTCATCTGCAAGTTTGCATATAATCAAGAGCACCTATTTTTTTTCCTGGTGGTATTGTCAGGTCCAGCTGACTGAACTTTGCAAGGAAATGAAAATTTTCCATTTTCCATTGCAAATGTTTCAATCCTAGTTGTTATACAGTCTTGAGAAAGCAAGGAGTAAAAGCTAAAGCTGATGAGTTTTGTAAAGTCAGCTGCTTAAACAAGTTCAGTGAATCTCAAATGTTCTGCATGTGTTCCAGAGTACCCATCTGAATCACTTACAGTAGTTTCTGTGTTGAATCTACTTAATTGAGCCCCTTAGCATTTTGATTAAACAGATTTAATTTAAAAGCTAACTTATATGATGAAGAATAAACCCTTTAAAAAAATTATAATGCAACTTGCAAAAAATCAACAGGGGCTTTAAAAAAAAAAAGTAAGGATTAACTGTGTCAGTACACTGTCATTTCACTAATGATTTAGCCAGTACAATGTTGATCAAAAATTGTTGATCATATTTTGGCACATAAAAGAGCTGTTTTGGCTTTGAGCTATATTATATCCTTTAAAACCACTCAATTTCTAGACTGCCTTCCAAATAAAAGCAAATAAAGTTATGCCTCACTGGCTGTAAATGCAGAGGACTATGAAGCCAACCTAGATCTGGCAGTGCATCTTTCCTGAAAGAAGCAGAGACGGAGCCTGCCCTCAAACCCATGGTGCTAGCTGTCTGGTTGTGACCACAATATGTCTATCTCCACTTCACCACATGGACATTTTGGGGTCTTTGTGGAATACAGAATCATAGAATAGTTTGGGTTGGAAAGGACCTTTAAAGGTCATCTAGTCCAATCCCTCTGCAATAAGCAGGGACATCTTCAACTCGATCACATTGCTTAGAGTCCCATCCAACCTGATCTTGAATGTTGTCAGGGATGGGGCACCTACCACCTCTTTGAGCAACATGTGCCAGTGTTTCACCACTCTCACTGAACACGTATCTGCCACATCCATCTCAGTGTCTTCTTCCATAGCAGCCCACAGAGTAGCAGCTTGGAACGGCTAGGTTTTTTCCCTTTTAGACCCCATTCCTTAACCAAACATCTTCAAGGGTGAGGATGATTCATCCAGCCTCCTTAATAGCAGGTCTGACATAGGTTGACCTAAATATCACATATAATCTATAATGTCATAGATAATCTATAATTAATATTTAACATTAATTTTATACTTTAGAGACACTTAAATCCTTTAGTCTTGTGATGACCCTGCTGCATTAGAAAAGGGAGATGGGAAGAGTTCTCTCAACCAGACTACCTCAGGAGAGCTGGGCTCACTTGTCAGGTCACACATACTCTTGCTTTCTGTCTTTGACAATTGACGTCATGAGCTGAAGATTTCCCTGTACAAGGTAAAAAAATGGTCAGGCACTACTAAGATACTTTGTTTTAAAGCCTATATAAACCTCAAGTAAATAACAGAGTTTGTCTCAAAGATCTTTTTGAAAGTAAACTCAAAAGGTAAGGCTGCTCCTAGTACTTTGATGTTTTACCAATGGCTAAAGCTGTCTATTTTCTAAGATATATAGATATATATGAAAGATGTTATTTTATTGCATTTGTTACTTAGAAGTTTTTGCCACAATATGTGTGTTTGAGAAGTCTGAGCAAGAGACACAGACAACTATATATTCTGTAATGACTAAACTCTGAGGTAGACCTTACTAGCACTCCTAAGACCTTACTACCACTGTAATTCTGATACCTTCTTAAATGTTCCACCAGTCATGTAGGTTAACAGATTCAGAAAAGTACACGCTTTGTTACTACACCACCAAGTTCATTTGTTATTAGAATACGTAGGTACATGCTTAAACACCATTACAAAGCTTCTGGGCCATCTAAAATCACAAATGAACAATATCCTTTAAGAGCCTTTATAAGAACATCTAGAACAAGAGCTGAAGGAGAACAAACTGGTACAAGGTTGTCATGTGCAATCCATGTCTTGCTATACATCTTCTCCCAGAAAAGGAATGTGTCTCAAATTGATCCTAATGGTATGTAAAATGGGGCCAAAAATTTAGTGGTGTGCCATGCTCCCCTGAGATCCTACTGAGCTAGTGGCCCACAGCCACCTTATCTCCACCATGAAGCACATACTGGTGTGGGAGGAATAGAGGAATAAGCTTGCTTGATCTGAAGAAGCAAGTGCATGTCTCTTTTTGAAGGACTCCCCCCCAACATCCTGACTCCAGCCTAGGATGAGGTCCAGGCCCATGCAGCCCATGCAGGCACTTCGGGCAGGAAGCGTGGGTGGCAGGCCAGAAGGCTGTGGCACACCAATAAGTTCCCTGATGCTGACAGTGAAGGACGTGTGGCATCTGGTGGAGGGGACTGTTTCCTATAGCCAGAGCAAAACCCGCGAGAGGACCTAGGAAGCCCTCTGAAGTCCTCGGGAATCCTTCCAACTGGGATTCCTCCCAGGGGCTTTGTATCAGGTATAAACCTGTTCAGCTGAGCCCAGCACACAGACCAATTTATTTACACAACAGACAAGTTAGAAAGCATTGTGTTAAGAGCAGGTTTCTAAATTTGCGTGTTGGAAGTCTCTTGCTTCCTTGGCTATCTTTTCTGTTCACTTGAGTAATATTTAAGAGCAGTTCAAAGACTCTTTACTCATACAGCACAAGAAAGTGGAAAACTCTTCTATGACTGGCTTGCTCTTTGATAATGAAGTCAGTATTTTCCCCTTGATAAGATTAAAAGTATGTTTAAGAGACCAGCCTTCCAGGAGGCATGCGCACACATACTGGGAAAGCAAATGAAATGTGACAAATGTACAGGAACCAACCATGTGGTAATTGCACTTGAATCCGCCGTAAACGCACCATGCACAACTTTTTATGGCTTAAAGGCTCATTTAATTCCTGTCTCTAATTTGCATATTAAATAACCACGCGTAGAGGGAGAAAAGGGGTGATAGGGTATTTCTCCCAGCTATTGTTAAGTACTCAGACTACCTTAGGCTGTTGGGTAAATTAAGAAAACTCATCTCCGCAGGCTTCGTCTCCTGCCACGGAAAGAGCGAGGCTCTTGCAGGAGGTGACGCAGAGCATCGACATGCTTTAGAGTAAGTCACGATAACACGGTAACTGTTTTCTGTCCCAGCAGCCAGAGAGAGCAGGCTCCGAGGCAGAGGACCCCAAGTGGGACTGCTCCCCCGACACTGATTACACAAGGAAGTTTCCCCACTGAATTCAAGACAGCCAGGATTTTATCATCAGCATGTCTTTCTGTCATTGTGAGAGCATTGCAAATCAGTTTACTACAGAGACAAAATAATAAAAGACCTTTCACTCTTGACTTAACAACTTGCCAATGTGGGACTGCATACATGCGTTTCAATGCTACAAAGCATCCCAGTTTCCAGTCCGGTCAAATTCCCACTTGGTAACCAAACCTGGGATGTGAGCCTTCCAAGAGCCCTTTTTGCCCATCAGAGTATGATTTGGATATTTTGTAGGCCTACTAGCAACACCAAGTACTGACATATTGTACTTACTGTTAAAGAAAATAAAAAATCCATCTATTTCACGACCAACAAAGTTTTATGAGTCTGACACAGATCTTCTGTATATCATCTTGACTCACAATAACTTTGTGAAGATCATTTTCAAGTTTCTAAAAATATCAAAAATTAATACAATTACAGTTCACTGAAAAATTAGCATGAAATACATTCTGAAAGCTAAAATCATTCACAGCAAAGTAATGTTCCATTTAATTACAAAGATTAATTCAGCCTTTATGTACGTGTCTGGTCTTTTCATTTTTCATTGAAAACAGATGATTCAAGAGCCATCTGGTAAAATTGCTGCATAAATATCACTGCATCTATTTAGGTTTTACTTATAGAAAAACTAGGAAAATAGAGTGATGGATCTTGGTAAAACAGAAAAGTTCCACCACAGGGCTAAAGCCCAGTCCTACAGATATCAATAGGAAGTGACCCACCAACTTGAGTGGGAGATGGACTGGGCCCACCTTAATAGTGTATTTTACTTCCTATGCAGGGGCCACATGAAATGTCAGGGATCCGCACATCGTGAACTGCAATCAAAGGTGAAGTGGCAACTCAAACACAAACATTTGGCCTGAAATGATAATTTTTAAGAATACTTGATCTACAGTGAACTGGCTATGATCCATACTCCAGACTATAGCTAAGCATCCAAGTATTTATTTTTAAACTTTGCCTTTAACTTTCCTCTTATATTTGCATATCACAACAATACACACTGTGTAGACTTTTTAAGATTTTTCAGAGCTAGTGTTTCATTTAATAATATTGCACATACCACCACCTCACACTGCAACATAATGCTCCCCTCCATATTTCAATAATTGTTTTGAATGTTCTACATTAATCAGTTATGAAGATGGAAAATACAGCTATTGCTCTAGTCTTGTAATAGCTTGAGTTCAGGGATAAAAAAAAAAGTGACTTATATAAATAATCACATCCATGAAGTACACATAAAATTGTTTTCAGTTAAATACACACTGTGGTTTCAAAAGTAGCTGACTCCATTTAAGAGCTTTGTGCTGCCAAATGAAAAAAAAGGGAAAAAAAAATCCTAGTCCTCGGTCTTTTCCCTTGCTCCTCCCATCTCTGTCTGTCTATCTGCTCATGCTGCCTGCACCCACAGCCTCCAAGGAGCCTCAGCTCCTTGCCACATCTGTCTGGGAGGTTGCTTGGCTCACTAACATAGCAGAAATTTATCCACGTTTTTCCCCAGCTAGTTTTCTGCCAGATTAGTGAGCTGAATCACTACACAGAGACACTCAGCAAGTGCTGGAACTAGCACCAGACAAGTGCTGGGAACACATAATGTGGGAAAGTAGAGAATGAACAGCAAAGGGGTTATGTGTTACATTTGTTTCCCTCCTCTTCTGAATCATCTTTTGAAACCAAAGTCTCACTCAAAGAAAACTTCCTGACAAGAAAATATTACCTAGCACACTTAAAAAGGCACTATACCATACATTACCTTCCTAGGAAAAGGAGCGAAGAAAAAGGGACAAAAATTTTCTAAGCAAATTGTTAGTTGAGATTATATATTCAGTCTTAATATCCACTAGCTATCAAGACAATATCATTATTACTAACCATAAAGTTGCAAGCACCTAGACGTTTAGTAGAAACACCATGCACAGAAGAGAGTCAACCATGTCAACAACATTAGTGCCACTCTT